GCTACTTCTAACCTCCACTTCCGTGTACCCTGTCGTGGACGCCCGCGGTTTACCACGACGTGCCTCGTAACCGAGGCAGTTCCCCCCTAATTGGAAGACGGGCCATAGCACTCTAAGGCTCTGAGAAGGGTCGCGTGAAGATAAGTGGAAGGGGCGGGACCCAACCGTTCCTTTGACCAACCGCTTGCGAGATATGTAACCTCCTGATCGTGTACTGTCGAATCAAAAGCCGTTAGTAAAGTAGTGAAACAAATTCTCCTTTTTCGTAGGACGGCCGGTCTTTCCGGTTTCCGTCTCCTCCCCCCCCATTCCGCTTCCGGCAGGGCCTGGTTGGATCAAGGAGCTCTCTAAGTCACTTCTGGGCGACTGATATTTTTGTTTCCGGTCTATGGGACCCGGCTGGGATTTGCTGCTGCCCGCAGCAGCTAGTGACACCACGACCGCCATCATGTCTGACACAGACAGCGATGAAGATTCGGCGGGAGGAGGCCCATTTTCTTTAACCGGTTTCCTTTTTGGCAACATCAATGGAGCCGGGCAGCTGGAGGGGGAAAGCGTCTTGGATGATGTGAGGGCGTGGGCGTGGGGATAGGGTTGGGGGTGGTGCAGTTCAGGGGAGCAGGTAAGATTGAGGACAGTAGAGGGTGCTTAGGGTAGAGTTTCTGGGAGACGGCGCAGTTAACGTAAGAGGAGAGGAAACAAGCCGGCACTGTCATACTAGAGTGTGCATAACAGACTGGGGAGGCTTGGTTCTGTTTGAGGGTAGGGAGAAGAGAGAATGGTAGGCTAGCCCTCGTAGTCAGGGGCGCTGATGTGGGGGCCTTTGGGGGATAATATTCATCCTAACAAGGCAGCAGGAAAAATAGCGTAACTAGTGACATTGTTTTTAAACCGTTGCTATGAGAACCTTGAAGATTTTTGAAACTGCATTTCTGACATCATTCACCTGACGTGGTTCTAGAGCCAGAGAGTTGGACCTAACCTGCAACAGATCATGTAGTTCAAGCCTCAGTTTTTAGAACAGTGAATGTTCAGATTATTTGGGGCAGACCTCTTCTGGCGCAGTGCACTTCTTAGGTAGTTTCCCCTGCTCACTGACATTCATGGAATTGTTTCCTGTGCCTAAATGAACCTTCCCTACTTTGACTTCGGTTCATTTTCTCAAGGAGAAAACACTGATCAATTTTCTTCTGCCATACACGCAGACACACAAAAGGTAGTAAAAAAAAGTTGTCTTCCCTTTCTAATCCAGTGATTTGCCTTAACCTTTAATCAGAGAACTACTGTTCCATTTGTTTAGACTTGATGATGGTTCTTTGAATAATTTTTTCTTATACTGAAGTATGGTGATGAAATTGGACAGCATATATATATATATTCATAAAGATCTGATCAATGTGGAGTTTAGTGGAAGATATACTTTACAGTTCTTGAATGTGATGTTCCTAAGCTTTGTGTGGGAAGCTTAGGTTTAGTTGTTATCTTTGACTCTAGTGCTGTCCCTTTTTCAGGAATGTAAGAAGCACTTGGCAGGCTTGGGGGCTTTAGGTCTTGGCAGCCTGATCACTGAACTCACGGCAAACGAAGAATTGACTGGGACTGATGGTGTCCTGGTAAATGATGAAGGTAAGTCTGGGTCATGGGGAGTAAGGTGGAGGAGGAGGCTAGCCACTTACTGTATATGCACTTTTCAATGGGAATTATTGGGAGTGAGAGTTACTTGCTCTTAGTTGAGATATACCGTGCACCCCCCACTCCCGCCCCGCTTTTATTTATAGGATGGATCAGGAGTACAGAAGATGCTGTGGACTATTCAGACATCAATGAGGTAGCAGAAGACGAAAGCCGAAGATATCAGCAGACAATGGGGAGTTTGCAGCCTCTTTGCCACTCAGGTGATTCTTTAGTGTCCTCAGTAGAGCATCCCAGGTCATTTTCTTGCTGTGTAGTCCATTTTGTTTTTGTGTATGCTTTCTGCCATTGTTCTTGTTCTCCATCCTTTGCTTCTCTCTCTTTGTCAGCTCAGTTTTACGTAGTTGCTGTCCTTTTTGTGTGTGTGTTCTGGGGCAGTGTCATATTCAGGCTTTTATTCCTCATACTGGTTTTCCCAAATTATTGGTGAACGCCAAGTCAGGATGATAATGCTTTCTTTATCATCTGGTATTTAAGTTCATGACACTGTTTTGGATGCTATTTTTTAAAAATTGCTTTTTCATTTTATTTATTTTAGAGAGAGAGAGAGAATGCCAAGCAGGCTCCCCGCTCAGCACGGAGCCCCACGTGCCGCCTGATCCCATGACCCTGGGATCAGGACCTGAACTGAAATCAAGAGTCGTACATTCAACTGACTGAGCCACCCAGGCGCCCATGTTTTCAGATGCTATTTAAACACAGTCTTTGCCCTCAGGGACTTGGTAGTTCAAGGAGGATTAATATATACTATGCCCTGTATAAATGAGCACATGTATTTATTGGCTCACCTTCTGTTAATCACTCACCACCTGTATGCTGACAGAATGCACCTAATGTTTACTCACAATATAGGTTTTTCTCCCTTGTATAAAATGCTACATGTAGAATCAATCAAAGCTGAAAGGGGTCTTACTGATTATTTATTCTTAACCTCATCATAGATAAGAAAAACTTGGGCTTTGACTTTAATAAGATGTGGGACTTTAGTAAAAATTCTGTAAGTTAGCTAATGGCAGACCTTGACGAGTTCAACTCAGGTCATTAGACATTTATCGAGTACCTGTTATGGGCTATAAACTGACAGTATGGTATGAAGATAATAAAATCCATTTTCTGATCTTGAGGAGCTTCCTTCTGTGGTCTGGGACCTAGAGCTACTGATCATGGTTCTTTTTTTTTTTTTTTTTACTTTTTGCAACTTTTAAAGGGTAGTTGACACATATGTGATTCATTGTTTCCACTGCCTTACACTACCTCTCACTGCCTGACATATTGTGTGAAGTTGCTCATTGTTTACCTCTTTGAATCAGATTTCAGGACCATTTAATTGGCTTCAATGCTGCTTATATAACTGCTTATGTAATTTAAGGGGAATTAACTACCACATACACAAGAGGTAACCCAAAAAAATAGAAGATACAGGTCTTACTATCAGGGATATTCTTATCATTTGAGGAAGATGGAATAAACAAGTACAAAGCATAATTATTCATAATAAGACATAAGCCAGCTACAAGCTCAATTTCTGTATGGAATATTGTATTTCATTTTGAGAGGTTGATATTGTCTAAGACAAATATCATAACTAAGTGCCCTGACTTAGATAGCAGCTCTGATTTTCAGGGATTATTGTAATTTTCAGGTTTGGGTTTGTTGTCTTGGGTAGGGATGTTAAGGAAGATGATGAGTGGGGGTTTCCTAGTTGAGTTTTATGAGCTCACCTCCTGGAAAAGGGTGATGCCGCATTTGATAGTGTTAGTATTCTGGGATGCTCATTTCCAAGTTGTCCAATGAAGGTGCCTTCATCTATGCCCCTAGCTTCCTCCTCCTCTGACGTTGGCCCCTGCACATGGCCTGATTTACAACGATGCTTCTGTGGAATAGCTGGAAGTCAGTAGAGGTCATTAGAAGAGATGTCGTGGAGGTGAATTTTGAGCAAAATTTTGAAAGACAGGGTTTCATGGGGAGGGAGCAGCAGGGCATTTTGGTGTGGAAAAATGGCTTGTCTAAAGGTTTAGGAAGTAGAAGTAAGTGACTAGTGTGGGGGGAATTGGCTAGCAGGTTTTCTTAGAAGGAGTGGAGAGCCACTTGACTGGCTCAGTCCGTGGAGAATGTGACTCTTGATGTGAGTTCGAGCCCCACATTGGTGTAGAGATTAGTAAAAATAAATAAACTTTGAAAGGAGTGGAAAACATACTGCTAGGTAGCAAGAATTGATTGAACAATTTGACAGCACCTTCACTTGGGATTTGATGCCATAAAAGGTTATAAACCGGCATAGATTGGTGCAGTAAGGGTAGTATAATAAAAAGAAAATGGGGGTGCCTGGGTGGCTCAATCGATTAAGCGTCTGACTTTGGCTTAGGTCATGATCTCGTGGTTTGTGAGTTTGAGCCCCATGTTGGGCTCCCTGCTGACAGCTCAGAGCCTGGAGCCTCTTTGAATTCTGTCTCCCTCTCTCTCTGCCCTTCCCCAGCTGGTTCTCTCTCTCTCTCTCTCTCTCTCTCTCTCTAAGTAAGTAAGTAAGTAAGTAAATAAATAAATAAATAAAGTTGAAAAGAAAGAAAATGGACTTTGAAATCAGAATGATAGCTTCAACCCCCAGCTTCATATTTAGTTTGACCCTGGGAAAATTGCTCAGTGTTTGAGGCTTGGATTTGTAATAATCCCTCAGTTTTCTTGTTTGCAATAAAGATGATAAAACCTGCCTCATTAATTAATAGCTCTTTTGTGGGAATTTAAGTTTATTATCATGTGGTGTGAAAGCACCTACATAGTACAGTGGCATGGTAGATGCTCTGTAAATGTTAATTGCATTTCCTTCCTAAATGGAGATGGAAGGTGATACCTGTGGCTTTGGGGTTTTGATTAGAAAAAGGGTAAAGCGGGGGTTGGGGGAGGGGGGTGGGAGCATGGGTGGCTTAGTCAGTTAAGGGTCCCAGTCTCGGTTTCGGCTCAGGTCATGGTCTCGTGAGTTCGTGGGTTTGAGTCCCACATAGGTCTCCGTGCTGCCGGTGCGGAGTCTGCTTGGGATTCTCTGTCTCCCTCTCTCTCTGCCCCTCCCCCATTCATGCTGTCTCTGTCTCTCTCAAAATAAATAAATGAAAACTTAAAAAAAAAAAGGGTAAAGGGGCAGACAAACTTGGAGACTTCTTGCAGGCTAGATGTCAAGTTACTCTACACCTATGTAAAGGTGTGGAGTAAGGTGACAATTGTGGAAAATGCTAAGCAGAATTAAATTAGAGAGTTGCTGATAAAACATGAGTAGGACTGGGTAAGTGAGGAAGTGCATTGGGAAGAGTACAGGCTTTGTTTGTTGTTCAGCCAGCCTTGGATTCTAACTCTGTCACTTAAAACTGTGTGATCCTGAGTAAGTCAATTCACTATCTCAGAATAATTCCTACTTTGCCAACGTCGTTGGGAGGATTATAGATAAAATAGCTACAAATACCTGGCACGTAATGGGAGCTCAGTAAATGGAAGTTGCTATAATGACCACTGTTAATGATTGATTGGAAAAGGTGTGTTGGGGGGGGGGGTAAGAGATTGATGGAGAGGACAGGAGACTTAAAATCATAAGCTGGGAAAATGAGGATGGAGGTGGTGTAGACAGAAAGGAAAGGGAGTTGGAAAGTGGTAAGGATATTTCAATGTGATGACAGATACAGTTGTGGAATATCTGAATGGAAAGGTTCTTTAGGCAGCAGAACGTGGTGGTGTGATTGTAGAGGGGTTAAGTCAGGGCAAGAGCTACAGATTTGGGTTTAATCTGGATATGGGTGATTCTTGAGTAAGGGAACGGAGCTTGTGTAGAGGAATAAAAGCAGAGTTTGACCATCAAGTACTGAGTGATGCCAGTGGCTAAAGGGCAGTGAAAAGAATAACACAACTGCAGAAGGTAGGTAAAAAATGTGTCAAAGACTTGGGAAGTGAGAAGAGAAAAAGTCCAGCCTCAAAGGAAACTGACAGAGAAGGAAGAAGGTTCAATTGAATTATGAGATGGAGCAGGATGAAAATAAAAAATCAAATAGGATTTGATCAGGAGAAGGAACACATGTTTTTAAACCATTCTTGGGAGCTCAATTCCTGTATAAGGTAGACATAGTGTTATAGCATTTGGGTATGTTATACCGTGACATCTCTTTCTGAAGGCAGAAGCCACATCTCCTGTGTGTTCTTAAGGGGTCTGTATAGTGTTTTCACGTGCTGCTTTAAATTCTTGTGTGATGGAGGAACTCAGGGCTGTTGTGTGACATTCTGGATGTTGAGGTGATCACCTTCTTGGTTTTATTAGATTATGATGAAGACGACTATGATGCTGATTGTGAAGACATTGACTGCAAGTTGATGCCTCCTCCACCTCCACCTCCAGGACCAGTGAAGAAGGATAAAGACCAAGATGCTATTACCAGTGGTAAGTAGAGACTGTCTTCTTTTGTCCAAAGAGCAACTTGCATTCATAGGTCGAGGCTTTTGGCATACCCATAGGGAGCTGTAAAAGTGCAGCTGCTAGGAAAGGGTACTGCTTCTGGAAGTGAGTCCTACAATTTCAGTGGTAAAGGAAAGTGTTACTTTTGAAACATTTGGCAACAGTATTTTAACAGGCACTGGAGAGAAAGTAGTTTAGGTCAGTGGTTCTCAAATCTGGCTGCCCATCCCAGTCATCCCAAGCCTTTAAAGAAATACAGATTTCTGACTCTCATCCCAGAGTCTGATTCAAAGATCCAGGATAGAGCCCAGGAATTTCAAAATGTTCTCCAAGTAATTTCTGATGCAGCTGATCTGTATACTGGTATTTGGAACCGACCTGTTTAGATGATTCTCTTTAAAAGAAATGATTAAATGGGGAAGGCACACTAGAATGTGTATTTATAATCATCTAGAGCCAACTACCAGATTCAGAGATTTCCAAGGCAAGGGCTTTAGTGATCATCTCATCTTTCCTGTGTCTGCCACAGTAGTAACCTTGTCCTGTCCTAGGCTAGGAGATTGGGGAAGAGCAGTGTCTTTTGATCTCCTGTATTTTGGGGATTATGTTAACCTAAATTCCTCCTGTTAGAGTTTTAGCTGTTTCCTTTTTAGTCTGCAGGCTAAGTAACATGTGTTAACTTTATGTCATAGATCTGATTTCATGCTACATAATTTCATTATTCTCCTGTGAGCTTAAAAAATTTTTTCAGCTTATGGGCCCCCGAACTGCAAATTACAAGGCCTGATTGGTATAAAAGTGTTATTTAATTTTGCTGTTGGTCATATTCCTTTAACCTAATATATGTATAGAAAGTAGTGAACGTAGTAATAGTGTTTGTTTTCTCTCGTCACAACCCTAGGGTACCAGGTACAAGGTGAGTTGGGGATGCTGGGAGATACTGAGTGGAGTGAGTTTTCTGGGTTGCATACTAGTAATCTGGGTGCTTGGAACTATACCCCCTGCCACCGAGCCATGCATAGAGCCTAGACTGGGTACTGGCTGAGTCGGAGGAGATATGCTCACAGTTACATGCCAAAGGGGTTTCTCTTCCTTGTTGCAGTGTCTGAGGATGGAGAAGGCATCATCTTGCCCTCCATCATTGCCCCTTCCTCTTTGGCCTCAGAGAAAGTGGACTTCAGTAGTTCCTCTGACTCAGAATCTGAGATGGGACCTCAGGAAGCAACACAGGCAGAATGTGAGGATGGAAAGCTGACCCTACCATTGGCCGGGATTATGCAGCATGATGCCACCAAGCTGTTGCCGAGTGTCACAGAACTTTTCCCGGAATTTCGGCCTGGGAAGGTACTTTCTGTGGAGAATGCCCAAGTTGCAAACCATTGACCTCTTCTAAAATACTGAGTTCTGTTGTTAAGGTGTTGAATATCGAATGGATGAGATTTAAGTTTCCTTATTCAGTGACGTTGTATTGGTTCTTTTTAAAAAAAGTTGTACGCATTCGTGATAGTACGTGTAATTTATATGGTTCTCATTAGAAATTGTCCTTGTCATCTTAAAAGAACTAGTCCAAATTATTAAGGGATACTTCTTTACTTTCTTGGTAGATGTTATAAACCTGAGTTCAGCACTCCTTGGTCCCTCCCCCACGGCCGAGTAGACCCCTCAGGGGAGTTTGCAGACCCAGACACCGCTGTTTTCCTATGGGATATGGAGTCTTTGACATAGTAGCATGTTCTGCGTTCTAGGTGTTACGCTTCCTACGTCTTTTTGGACCAGGGAAGAACGTCCCATCTGTTTGGCGGAGTGCTCGGAGAAAGAGGAAGAAAAAGCACCGTGAGCTGTTACAGGAAGAGCAGATCCAGGAGGTGGAGTGCTCAGTAGAGGCAGAAGTCAGCCAGAAGTCTTTGTGGAACTATGACTATGCTCCACCACCACCTCCCGAGCAGTGTCTCTCTGATGACGAAGTAGGCAAAATAGAGTCCTGGGATTGAGGTCTAAGAGAGGAACAGTGGGTTCTCCCTAGCTTATGTCTAAATTGGAAATAGCACCTTAGCAGAGTCCTGTGCCAATTATGAGTGAGTAATCATGAGTTTAGTCTTAGTGGCTGTCCCTTCCCTGTTATAATAGAAAAGTACCAAAGACAGGCACCTGGTGGTACACAAACTAGTGGGTAGGAAAGTTTGAATGATAGGCCGAGGGTGTCATGATATAGCTCCATTATTCACATTCTAAATCCAGTCCTGTTGAAGAATCATCCTTATGGCCCCTCTGACTTCCCCTCCTGACTGTGGACTCCCTGTAGCCTTAGGACATCTGGGATCAGGAAATCCTCCTCCCTTCCTACTCTGTTCTGTTACAGATTACAATGATGGCTCCTGTAGAGTCCAAGTTTTCCCAGTCAACTGGAGACATAGATAAAGTGACAGATACCAAACCAAGAGTGGCTGAGTGGCGTTATGGGCCCGCTCGACTGTGGTATGATATGCTGGGTGTCCCTGAAGATGGCAGTGGGTTTGATTATGGCTTCAAACTGAGAAAGATGGACCATGAACCTGTGATAAAATGTAGAATCATTGAGGTAAGTGACACTGGTACCCGAGAAAGGAATCTGTGCCCAGGGCCCTGTCAGTTTTACTTAACTTTGCTTTTCGGTTGGGGAGGGTGTCTTCGGTGGGAGATGGAGGTGTCGAAGCCTGTTGCATGTTACAGCATATCACCCTGGCAGCTAGGCCCCATCGCAGAGATTCTGTTTGTGGAGTGAGTGCGGTGCTAGGCTAGGTGGAGGAGGAGGAGCCGGTGTTGCTCTATCATCGGGTTCTTCTCTTGAGGACTACATTCAATGTATCCGACGGGGGATTTGGAGTGAGAACTTTGACCGGTGACCGTTCAGAGATTTGTTGTTCCTTCCCTGTTTCTGTAGGACTTTAGGAAACTTGAGGAGAACGGTGGCACTGACCTTCTGGCTGATGAAAACTTCCTGATGGTGACACAGCTGCATTGGGAAGATGATATTATCTGGGATGGGGAGGATGTCAAACACAAAGGGACGAAACCTCAGCGTGCAAGCCTGGCGGGCTGGCTCCCTTCCAGCATGACTAGGAATGCCATGGCCTACAATGTCCAGCAAGGTGTGTTTCTGTGCCAGCTGTGTCTAGCACACTGCCCTTCATCTTGGTCGTCCTGAGTGGGCCCAGCTGTGCTCTGTTCTGCCGAGGGACGGTGAAATGTTTTCAATCTGAGCCCTGATTCTAGTCCGTAATAAATCTTTACAACTATTAACAAGCTAGGGTGGACTCTGATTTCTCATGAAAAAAATGGGAAAACCACTTTGAAGTTAAAGATCTTTCTGAACTAGAACAGTGCTTTATCTCTATACTTTTGTTTTCAAAGCCAGCCCCTCTGTCTTTGTCTTTATCATTCTAGAATTTGCTTTTTCTCTCCTTAAATATGCAAAAAAAAAGGTATTCCATGCTTAACGTAGAAAACTTTGAAAATAGAATACAGTGTCAAAAATCACTGATAAATCCTACTACCCAGAGATGATCAATTATTAACGTTTTGGTGTACTTCGTTTTTGTTTTTTTGTCTTCTGTGTGTATGTGTAGTTGAGCTCATTTCTTTCATTTTTAAAAGATGTCTATTTTTGAGAGAGCGTGAGTTGCGGGGCAGAGAGAGGGAGACAGAGGATCTGAAGTGGGCTCTGTGCAGACAGTAGAGAGCCCGAGCTCGAACTCACGAACCGCAAGATCATGACCTGAGCTGAGCCAAAGTCAGACACTTAACTGACTAGCCACCCAAGTGCCCCAGTTGAGCTCATTTCTATAGACAGTGTCGTACACTGTGCTTTTCAGTTGACAAATATCGTATATCATTCAAAGTTCTTCGTTAAAATGTCTAATAACATGGGAAACTCAAAAAACATGAAGTGGAGGGTGCCTGGTTGGCTCAGTCAGTAGAGCATGAGACTCTTTGTTTTTTTAATGTTTATTCAGTTTTGAGAGAGCGTGAGTGGGGGAGGGGCAGAGAGAGAGGAGGAGAGAGGATCTGAAGCGGGCTCTGTGCTGACAGCAGTGAGCCTGATGAAGGGCTTGAACTGAGGAACCATGAGATCATGACCTGAGCTGGAGTCGGAGGCTCAACTGACTGAGCCACCCAGGTGCCCCTAAACTTTGATTCTTCTAAAAAATATTGGAATGAACATTTTGTCTGCAGATTTCTTTAAAAGTGTGAAATATACTGTGTGCACTAGGTTCCTTTTCAAGTAGCCACATGAATAACTTTACTACCATTTGCTCCTCTTCCCTTTGCTGGAATCATGATTGAAAGGGGAATAAATGTTTTGTCTGTTATTTTGACTAGGTTTTGCAGCCACCCTGGATGATGACAAGCCTTGGTACTCCATCTTTCCCATTGACAATGAGGAGCTGGTATATGGACGCTGGGAGGACCATATCATCTGGGATGCTCAGGCTATGCCCCGGCTGTTAGAGCCTCCTGTTTTGACACTTGATCCCAATGATGAGAACCTCATTTTGGGTATGATATTGGTAGGGGCCAGTGTTCCTTCTCCATAATTGACAGCTTGCTGCTAATGTCAAAGGGCAGGGGGAAATCAGAAAGGTTGGGCAGGTCCAAGACTAGCAGCTTCTTGGGGTACCTGGGTGACTCAGTCAGTTGGAGCATGTGACTCTTGATCTCAGAGTCGTGAGTTCAAGTCTCACATTGGGTGTGTAACCTACTTGAAAAAATAGGTAAAAAAAAAAAAGACCAGGAGCTTCTAGGTAGCAGTTTGAGAGAGCAAAGTTGTGGCTGTTAGTGCCTAGTATTTCTGTTTTGCTTAGGGAAAACTCCTAAGGTAGGAACATTGGAGTGTAATTCAGTTAGAGTGCCTAGAAGTGGTCTGGGATATGATAAAAGATCTGGGTAGGAAGCGGAAAGGTATCTGTAGGAAAAAGTGAGTCTTCAGGGATAGCATCTCCAGAGTGACTTTTGTTTCATCCTTAGAAATTCCTGATGAAAAGGAAGAGGCCACCTCTAACTCCCCCTCCAAGGAGAGTAAGAAGGAATCCTCTCTGAAGAAGAGTCGAATTCTCTTAGGGAAAACAGGGGTCATCAAGGAAGAACCACAGCAGGTCTGTGAATGGAAAAGGGACTTGGGATGTTTAGAAGAACAAAGAAATGCAATGGATAAGGGTAGCCTGACTAAGGTTTATTTGATGTCCTATCATTAGAACATGTCTCAGCCAGAAGTGAAAGATCCATGGAATCTCTCCAATGATGAGTATTACTACCCCAAGCAACAGGGTCTTCGTGGCACCTTCGGAGGAAACATTATCCAGGTAAAGGTAGCATTTCTTTTCTATGATGGATGGGAACCGCTGCCTTGTTTTGATGGAGGATGTGGGTAAATCTTGCGTAGGCTGAAGTTAGTATTTAATTTGAACCGTGTATTTCCTGTCTTAGCACTCAATTCCTGCCGTGGAGTTACGACAGCCCTTCTTTCCTACCCACATGGGGCCCATCAAACTTCGGCAGTTCCATCGCCCACCTCTGAAGAAATACTCCTTTGGGGCGCTATCTCAGCCAGGTCCCCACTCAGTCCAGCCCTTGCTAAAGCACATCAAAAAGAAGGCTAAGGTATGATTGAACTCTGGTTATAAAAAAAATCGCTATAAAAGACATTAGAGTACAAATTCGGGGAATGGACTGGATATTAGATGGTATTCGGGAATTACTATTTCCTCAGATGTGATAGAATGTTATTGTGCTCATTTAGGGGAATGTCCTTATTCTTAGGAGATGCACATGAAAATACTTAAGGGGGATGTGTCATAATGAGTGTGACTTTCAAAAATGATTCAGCAAAATCTATAGATGTAGTTTTAGACAAAACAAATAAGGTAAAATGTAAAGTTGTATCTAGGTGCTGGGATAGTAAGTGTTCACAGTTTCAACTTGATGTTTGAAACTTTTGGCAGTGAAGTTGGAATAAAAGGCAAGGTAAAATCATTTTTGGTGGCACTGTCTTAGAGTGAGCAGTATCAGTTTGTAGTCATTGTGCTGACGGGAGCTGGACTGTATTCTCTTTGCTCTGGGCAGATGAGAGAACAAGAGAGACAAGCTTCTGGTGGCGGAGAGATGTTTTTTATGCGCACACCTCAGGACCTCACAGGCAAAGATGGAGATCTTATTCTTGCAGAGTACAGTGAAGAAAATGGACCGTTGATGATGCAGGTTGGCATGGCAACCAAGATAAAGAACTACTACAAGAGGGTGAGTCTCTACTCAGAAAATCTTTGTTATCAATATAGCTGTAATTAGGTATCCAGCAATAATTCGCAAACGTGTATTTTGTCTTTTTTATACTGTAAATGTCTTGAGAAAGAAATGGTGTCTTTTTTGTAGCTAGTAATATTAGTAAAATGCCGTGCTCGAGGAATATTTTGTGTAGGCTTATTGATCACATTCTGTGATAGTAGCTGGGTCTTCTGTGTTCCTTATAGAAACCTGGAAAAGATCCTGGAGCCCCAGATTGTAAATACGGAGAAACGGTTTACTGCCATACATCTCCTTTCCTGGGCTCTCTCCATCCTGGCCAATTACTGCAGGTAAGGGATTCTTTCCTGTTAGAATTCTTTCCTAAGGACCTTGACAGGTGAGGTGCTAATCAGCCCAGAAAGAACCAACTCTAGTTGATTGAAGTACTGTTTATGTATCAAGTATGGAGATGATCAGTATGATCCCAAATGATTATAATCATCCAATTTTCTTTTGGTCTTTCTATTAAAACTGGTTCCTAATAATGTTGTAAACTAAATTTGAAATAGTTTTTTGAAAATATACACTGGTAAGAAGTCCAGAAACATCTGGGTGGCATAGGGGAGTCAAAATGGGATTAATAATTTACTGTAGTTAATTAATATTTAATTTGTCTCTGTACATTTGGTATGTTTTTATTGGTGTCATTTTGAGTATTAAACCACACCTGAACCATGCCATTTATAGTCCCTGGCCACGGTGGAAGTATTTTTACCTACCTCTTTGTTCTGATGGGTGTAGAGAGGCCCTCTGGTAACCTAGCTTTATACATGTTTTGTTAAGGGGAAGTACAGAGGCACACACACGATGATGTGAGGACATCTCTAGCACTACCTTGTGTTTTGTCCTCCACCTAATTTCTCTTGGTAGTCTTAATCATTTTCTTTCCTCTTATACCTAGTTCCATTTTTTTTTGAGCATTTAACATTTTTTTTTAACGTTTATTTTTGAGAGAGAGAGAGAGAGAGAGAGATCGAGCACGAGCGAGAGAGGGACAGAGAGAGAGGGAGACACAGATCCGAAGCACGCTCCAGGCTCCAAGCTGTCAGCATAGAGCCTGACATGGAGCTCAAACCCATGAACCACGAGATCATGACCTGAGCTGAAGTCAGACGCTCAACCGACTGACTCACCCAGGCGCCCCAATCCTAATTACATTCTATCACTACTATTGCTTATTCCCCTAAAGCATCTGCAGAGCCCATTGTTTTCTTTATCCTTGACATTCATAGTCCATTTCCCACCAGATTTTGAGTATTATCTTTATACTTTTCCTGGCTTTCCTTTCCCTGTTCACATTCTGTTGAGATTTTCTACCAATCCCTCCCTTTCTTCTGTGACTACTTTTATAGTCTCTTGAAGATCCTTTTTATCTTCTGTAATGCTGTTTTTCCTCTCCATTTCACACTTACAATTTTCTTTTTTTCCCACACTTAGAATTTTCTATACTCATCCATACATTGAAGGTCTCTCTGTCCTCCTGTCTGATTTTCTGAGAAGTCTTTCCTTAGAGTCACAGGCTTCATGTGACAGTTGATCCCCATATGGCTGCTACTTAAAGAAGCTCAAATGTTTCTGTCCTGTGTATTTAGTCTGTCTTTCCAGCATGCCTTCATTTATTTTTGTTTTTGTCATTTTACTAATTTATTTAACAAATGTTTTGATCTTACACTATGTCGGGCTATACTGGGGTCTAGGGTTGTAATAGAGTACTTGTTAGTTTATAAGGTGATTTTCATATTTAGTCACAGCAATCCTACAAGCTATAGGCATTTTAAAGTATCTCTGTTTTGTAGATAAGGACAGTTAACCTCAGAGATACTCATACAGTGAGTAGCAGAGCCAGTGTCATCTGAATCCAAATCCTGTAGTTTCCCTACTATTCTTTTTTTTTTGATGTTTATTCATTTCTGAGAGAGAGAGAGAGAGAGAAACAGAGCACGAGCAGGGGAGGGGCAGAGAGAGAGAGAGGGAGGGACAATCCAAAGCAGGCTCCAGGCTCTGAGCCATCAGCACAGAACCTGACGCAGGGCTCGAACTCACGAAACATGAGATTGTGACCTGAGCTGAAGTTGGAAGCTTAACTGACTGAGCCACCCA